ATGAATTAAAATATATGACCAAATCTATATGTGTTTCCCAAAATATGACTCATGTGTTTTTCTATAATATGATGTCACATAACATATATCATAGCATTCGGATTTCTCTTTTTTCTTATTTCATTCCATAGTTGACTAATAAGAAGGAATCATGCATAATCATACATCCGGAATTGTCATGATGAGTTTTAGTTCGAAATAAGTATTTTTTCCATGAATATGTAGAGGAACCAGGATGGGGCAAATAGAATACTTTATGTTCTAATAATAACTCAAATTTGTGTGTCCGGATAGAATGTTCTACATAAGGACTTATTTGATCCCTTTTATGCAACTTCGAGTACCAAACTGACTCTTTACTCAATTTGTGTGTGCTTGAATACTTCAAATACATATCCGAATTTGAGTATATATTGTGGATTTACCTAATTTCAAATAAGAATATAAATATAGCTATGTTATATTCATATTATAATATTCAAAATGAAATACTCCGTATATTAGTGAGCCGCAAATGTATATGTACTACAGTACTAGATCTGTCCAAATAAAAGAGTCACATTCGAAAATGGATCACAAAAAGTCTTGCTTTGATAAAAGAAACTTATTCTTGATTTTTAAAATGTGGCTAATAAAAGTTAAATATGTTAAATTTTGTGAAATCAAAGTACATTGGACTGATTTGGGGACAGTTTGGTTGTAATTTGCGAGCTACATTGTTATAAGCAAAGCTTTAATGGAACTTTCAACATGATCCACAGTTCATATTTTTCACTTCTCCCGTCGACAGGAGAAGTGATTTCATTTTCAACTAATTTCATAAACCATTTCTTGCACAACAAATTGGAAGCTGAAAATGTTGAAATGTTAATCTACTTATCTCAGTATATCATTTCACACCAAATACTAAAAGGTGCATTAACGTAATTGTTTGCGCTAATTGGGTACATCAGTTACTTTAAATGATAAAAGACGTTTAGTTGATTGTTTACTTTGTTAGACTAATGTCAAAAGTGTACTTTAACTTGTCTCTAGTAGCATAAAACTACATTATTATGCATCAGACACTAGAAAGTATTTATATTAAATACTTTCGAGGTATTTGTATTAAGTGATTCTAATATGTTCTAAGCTTATTTCTTTTAGGGAAAAGGGATAAACAAGGCTACGTACTAACAAAAAAAGGTCAAATAAAACTTTATTTATGAGACTCTGGTCGGCCTTCTTCAATTGGGGTGGTTCTCGGTGGAATTTTTTGATGAATTTTTTTGACCATTTTATTCATTAAGTCTAGTTTACTCATACCAAATTTCAGCTAACAATTCAATCGGGAAGACATTCAAATGAATTCTTGAAGATAACTGCGCTTTTAACTGCGCTGTTATCTTCAAGAATTCATTTGAATGCCTTCCCGATTGACGTTTTAGCTGAAATTTGGTATGAGTAACTAGACTTACTGAATAAGATGCTCAAAAAAATCATAAAAAATTCCACTAGGAACCACCTCAAATGGCGATGGCCAGACAGAGCCTCTTAAATAAGGTCTTATATGGTGTCTTTTTTGAACTTTTTTGGTTAGTATGTGGCCTTATTTGCCCCTTTTCTCTTGTGTTTCTCTTTCTTTTATGGTGTCTTAATAAGTCTTCTTCATCATTACCTCAGGGCACAAAGACTTCCACACCTTCGGTGGAATAAGGAGGGTCAGATGTATGGGCTGACTGCTGTTTCATAACATAGAAGCGCAAACAGCTTAGTAAGTCATTTTGCTTTATTCCATCATATTCTCAAGTCAAAAAAATAATGGGTCTTTCGCTCTATTGCAAATGATGGAAATGTTTTAATAAGTATTTATATTAAATACTTTTGAGACTAATTCTTGAATGTCGTTGACGCTTTTGCATTAGAAATAAATATTTCATGCATTGCAATGTAATACTAATTCAAAGAGATAATAACAAAATAACTCTTTTAATAAAATGTGTCTAGAATACAGGTACAACATAGAAGGTTTGATATTTTTGTTTTGAAAAACAATACATAGATTTTGGATTGACCACTTTTGAAAGGGATTTAGAGTTCGCTTTAGAGATTTGAAATACTTAGAGGTTTTAGTAATGTTCTTTCTATTAGTGTACTAAAACCAAGTCATAATAGATACATTTGTCTGGAATATAATTTTGCACCGGCCACTGCAAAGTAGGTTGAGTTGATTTTTTGTTGTTGATTGAATATATCTTTCATAATTTATTTGTGATATTTAAATTTTATTTATTAATGATTGATTCTAGTACTACCTAAGTTTTAAACTCAGTTTCTTAGAGCATCTATAATGCTACAATGTGCACGGTGCGCATGTGGCATAAGAGATAGACACAAAACCTTATGTGTTATTGGTAAGTTTTTCTCTGCAATGTCAACCACAATGTTTACATCTAGACATTATGTTTGACATTGTGAAGTAAAATTTAACAAAATGATGTAAGATCCTTCAAATAAGGAGAGAGATATTCTATTTATTGTTTTTTAATTGATTATTTATTATGCCACGTATGTACCGTTAATGTTTTAGCATTGGAGTCTTTGGAGATGCTCTAAGAGTGTTAAGAACTCATTTAATTTTGGCACTAGCAGTCTAGCAGTAGCAATCAGTTCACAGAAGAGGAGTCAACAAGGTGAGAATTCTAACCCTAAACCGATTCCAAACGGATTCCCATACCAGTCGTCCAGTCCCGATCCGAATACCATGTCCGGAAGCGAAATCGAACCAGTCCAGTCCCAATTTGGACAGGCAAGAACCTTTCATAGTATGGGGGCTACGGACTAGCTTCGGATATTGATTCTCATGTGATCCCCATTAATCAGATTCTAGTAAGAGTGATATGGCGCCCTAGTATCAAACTATCAATCAGTATGATACCATCTAAATTTGATATGTTCTCAACTGGATCAGATGCGGGGCAAAACCAAACCGAACACCCATTTTTTCAGTTCTGGACCAGAACAGAGCTGGTCTAAACAGATTCCAGTTCCTCCACAATCGAACCATAATTGGCGAGTTCCGGATCTCTGTTTTTCTAATAGGCTAAGGATCCAAAACAAGGTGTGCTGGATTCATCCATCCTACTTAGGGGTGGACTGGGGCCGGGCAGCCCGACCCAGGAGTCTGGGACCAACACTGTTGAACCCGGTTTGGGCCTGGTTTTCTGGTACCAATAGGGCTGTTAACGAACCGGGCTTTTATCGAACTATTCGAGTTCGAGCTCGGTTTCGAACCTAACGAGCCGAGCTTAACGAGCTTTCGAACTCGAACCCGAGCTGAGTTTTAAGTTCGAAATATTAATCGAGCCGAGCTCGAACATAGTAGCATTAGGCTCGGTTCGAACCCGAGCCTATCGAACACCATGAAATTATAAATATAATTTATATATAATAAAAATTTAAATATAATTAGTATGATTTTAAGCATTTAAATATGTTTATTAACGAACCGAATACTTGTCGAATCATTCGAGCACGAGCCTATTAACGAGCATCACCTAAAATTTTAAAATCGACCATATTTATCGAGTTTAACAAGCGCTCGGTTCGAACATCGAACACCTATCGAGCCGAACACGAGCCTCATATGTAAAGCTTGCCGAGCTTCGAGCTCGAACCCGAACACCATTAATTCCTTATCGAGTCGAACTCGAGCTTTAGGTGTTCGGGCTCAGCTCGGCTCGTTAACACCCCTAGGTACCAGTACAAACTCGGGACCCGGACTGTGGGTAGAACTAGGGGTGGTTCGGTACGGTATACCTTATATTTTTTCTCATACCTTTGCCATACCAAAACTTTCGGTATGCAAAATTTGCATACCTTTACCTTACCGAAGTTTCGGTATACCGCATTTCGGTATACCGAAGTTTCGGTTCGGTAACGGTACGGTATCGGTAAATTACCGTGCATGTCTCCCAATACAAAAAATTATCATAGACTAACGAAATATACTAAATCGTTATTACTAGCGACATATTAAATCTATTATTAAAATGTTACGAAATACAATTAATAATCTATTGATGTCATTTCAATATTGAACAATAATTATTATTAGTATATTTAAGCAGTTCAACATACCACATATTAAAAAGTAACACATTCTCCTAAAATAACTTGAACAATATAGATATAATTAAATCAATAGTGATCTCTAACAAAAATAAATAAAACTATTCAAACAACATGGATATAAAATCATTTATAATTTTTTAAAAATTGAATAAGACTTTCGGACAAAGTTGTGTGTCTCGACTCGCTGAATCCCTATGTAGATACACTTGTCACATAAGTGTATATATCTTCACTCGTCAGCTACTTAGCTGCCCAACCATCACGACTTGCAAGCTCTTGGAACAAGATGGACTTGTTTCTTGACATTTGTACATTACTCATTAGTTATTTAAGGTTAGCATAGTAGAAGCCTATAAGGTTATAGTGGGTTTGAGAAATTGGACCTTTATTTTTGTATTTTTGTATTTGTAACCAACTTAAATATTAATTTTGGGCTTCAAAATTGTAATGGATTTCTACAATATATTAGAATTAAAAGTAATTGTTGAGTAGGGAGTCGGTACGGTATTATACCGGTATACCGCGGTATTTGAAAACATGTACCGTTACCGTACCGAAATAGACCGGTACGGTATCATACCGTACCGAAAATGACGGTATACCAATATTTCGGTATTTTCCGGTATTTTTCGGTACGGTAAGTGCGGTATACCGATATTTCGGTATTTTTGCCCACCCCTAGGTAGAACGAGCCAGGCTTCGGGCTTGCTTTTTTTGGACCAGCCCAACTGGCCCGGGCCTGGTCTAGGCCTAACCACTACTTTTTCAAAAAAAAAATTAGAGGAAGGGCCCAACCCGGGACCGACCCAAGACTAGTACTGTTTAGGCCCGGACCGGGACCGGTGTCAGACCAAACCAATTCAGTACTGAGCTTCATTTTTTAAGTGCCACGACCCGCCGGGCCTGGGAACGACCCGGCTCGACCCAAGTCCAACCCTAATCCTACTCCATGAATTGGAATCACACAAGAAATATTCAATCGTATATTGAGCACAAAACTAGCATAATACACAAGTGTCAAAATGTTCCCAAAAACATTAAAATAAAGAAACAAAATACAGCAGAATGCAACCATACACAACAGCACATTGTAGATCAAACAAACCTCTCTCAGCCTATGTACCCTGCCGCCCTGCTTATCCAAATAATCATCATCTCCCCTGCCCCCCAGATCCTGTCCTTTTCATATGCTGTTACACATAAGATCCAAAGACGAAAGAACCATGCATGTGGATGAACACTGATGGAGTTATGCAATAGACATAGATCTCAAATGCATTTTACCACATGCTCCATAACAAGGATCCTCTCAATCAGAGAAAGGAATGTCCTTGAACCTGTAAAGGAGGTGCTTCTTCTTAGATGTCGGGTTATCGATCGTAAGCAGTATCTTACCAAGCTCACTTATCTTGAAGCTGCTGGAAACTACAGGCTCGTCGGTCGGTGCCATCTTCCTGGGCTTTTGTATGTTTATGGTGTAGCTACCTTCCGTACTTGGCACAAATTCAGCACTGTAAGTTACCTCCCACCCCAATACACGTAGCTCCCATACAATGATGCACTTCTGTCAATCAAATTTAACAAAAAAAAGACCTTTGTTATTGATTTAATCAATTTATATATGATCGTTTTGTTTGTGCCATTATTTGAATATAATATGGACAAATTTAGTAGAGAAAATTGGACAGGCTTGAAAACTAGTTTATAAATAAATCAAGTGAAAAGTAAGTGGGGAAAGCATAAAACTTCACCTCATTTACAATGATTTCCACAGTTTGCTTCGTTGCGGGTTTAACAGTTATCTCAGTAGCTGGATGATCAGCAGTGAAATCTGGGTTGCATTCACAAGAATCTACATTAAGGCCCCCATATTGAATTGGCACTTGTTCAGGAGCAATGTACCTGATCTCAGTACATCACAACAAACTCAATTCTGCCTATAGGACATTCCAACATATTACAAGAATCCCTGCTAACAATTGGGTATGAAGGAAGCAAAGGCTGAAAGTGTGACATACTTGAAAAGGGTTTCTGCAGTCCTTGCTGGGCTGGCAAACACAAACTTGCTTTTGGTCCTCTGAGTCAAGAATGGACCAATCATTGTATAAAAAGCCATATACCACCATGGGACATTTATGAACACCTTCATCAATCAAGATTAGACACTGAATTAAATTCTAAACTTGATATTAGACCATGCTTCAAGAAAGGTATCAACAGTGCAAGTAATAATTAAGGCAGTGTGTTATATATATGTATATAGTCATCTCCATGTAAGACTACATCTGTTAAAGAAAGAGGATTTTAATACTAAATTATATTGCAAACAGATTATTTCAGAGAAGGGTGAAAAATAGATACACAAACTTTAAATCTACAAATAAGTCAGTGCCAATGTTAAGTTACCACACACAGATTAAATACAAATTCACATACAAGACATTAGGCTACACTTTCACATAAAATATGTCAGTGCCAATGTTGTATATATATGTGTGTGTACATATATATATAGGGAGCGGTTCCAATGAGAACCGTGCTTAACGTGAGAACCATGCACTTTTACCACAACTTGATGCACGATGAGGCTTATTTATTACACTTTTTAAACTTTGGTAAAAAAATGCCAACATCAAATAAATGTGGTGGATGATTCGTAAAGACTTAAACAACACCAAAATGTGCAAGGTATAAACGATATAGTGCATCAGATTTGCTTTAAAGTGGAGTTCTCGCGTTCTCACGTTAAGCATGGTTCTCATTTGATCCAAAACCTATATATATATATATATATATATATATATATATATATATACACACAACACCAACATTACCCCAGTGCCGTAAAGGCACCCACCTACGGTGGGTAAGGAGGGTCGGATGTACGAAATCTTTCCCCTGTACTAAAATAGGGAGAAACTGTTTCCAGGTGACCCATCATGATGAAAATCACGTCGAAAATTGTATGGATTGACCGTTGCTTGAAGCGCAGACAATTTAGTGAGCCATTTTACTTTATTTCATCGTATTCCTAAGCAAAAAATAGTGAGTTTTTAGCTCCATTGAAAATATTAGTGCCGATTAAGTTCATTTGTTCAAATGACAAATCCATCCACTTAAAACTTGAAAGGAGAAAACAGCATTCAAGATTGGGCTTATCCATCCTTTTATTGTGTTTACCTTTTAGAATTACTCCAAAGCCTTAAAGTTAAAAATGTGAAGAAAATTTCCAAATGATTTAAGAGAACTGCAGATTTGTCAATCACTAATTACAAAAATCCAAAAAAGTACTGCTCAACTAACCATATTTATCTTCTAGGAGGAATTCAATAGCTCACCATCAACAGAAAATGCTTGTAATGATTGAATAAAAACGATACCTGCTTTGCCACAAACTCAGGATAATTGTCTTGAAGTAGATGGAGGGCCTGCCTAGTGGCAATGCGAAGCTCACGTTTCCCTGGTCCAGGTGAATTCTTAAGATCACTGACCTGAAAGACAGTATTAATCCCACCGGGAAAGAAATCCAGTTCTCTTATACTCTTCTCCAGGAACTGAATCCGCCATCTCAGGAATTTTGACCTCTTCTCCACATCAGCAAATGTTTTGTTATACAGCTCCTTGTTCTGAAACTCTCCATACACATTGTAGCAAACAGGATGGCCATCCTTGTCGTACCCGTGCATAAAGACAGCCTTGTCAAGATCATCTCCCAGATCCTCTTCCACAACTTCATCGATCTTGAACTCTTTCCTCCAACTTATAGTGTTCTTTAGCATCGAAAACGATTCCTTCACCTTGAAATCACGAGCTCTGAGGAATTTCAGCAGAATCACATCGCTCCGCTCATCTTTCAGGAGTGGGATTCCCCAGAGTGATACTTCTTGAGGCCAATTCGAGACTTCCGATGGAGAGGATTCCTGGGAGGGCTTCAAAAAAATGCGATCTTTAAGAGCTTCTTGTACTAGGTTTTTGAACTCCTCGAGTGCTTTCGTCTGGGAATCGGAGAGATCTGAGACTATGTTACTCTCTTCCTTGAATGAAACGAAAGATCCCGGCCCTTTTTTTACTTCTGCCGGCTTCGACGTTGCCGGTTCTGGGGCCCCTACGTCCGCCGCCGGCGGAGGTTGTTCGTCTTTTTCTTGATGTACAGTGACGGAAACGCTCTCTGCAGCCGCGGACGGTTCCGGCGGCAGCGGCTCTGCATCAAGAGGGGTCTCTCTCTCAACAACTGTAACAGCAGCATGGTGCTGGGGCTCCACCGGAAGAGTTGGCGGTAGGTCTAGAGAAGCAAGAGGCGGTTCCTCCTCATGTAGTGGCGGCGGAGTTTGTGGCTCAGCCGTGTAGGGCGGTTGAAGGGTTGGTTCATCGGCCATTTTGGGCTAGGAAAAGTTTGATTAAAGTGAAAAGAAATCACGAGAAAGTGGTCACCTTTTCCTACCGATTGCGGAGTATCAGTGCAGAATATGCCAGACAGAGCATAGAAAAGCTAAAAAGGTCCCAACGCATTCGTGAGAGAGAGAAAGACGGGGAGAGAGAATGATTCGTATGTTTTTTGTCAGTGGTGAAGTGTTAACGTCGGAATTTGACACGATCGACCGTTGTTTGGACATGGAGAAAGAATCCAATGTGCCGCAAAGTCCAGCGCCTATCCCTGTGGTCTTATCTTCTTATTTTTCTTTCCCCTTTTTCTGTGCTTCATCATTATCTACTGTGTCAAATTCTTTGTTGTAAACATGAGCATGAGTGCATCAATGTTTTTTTTAACCATGGGAAAAGTTATTTCTATACATAATTTGTACACGAAATTTGGAAGTACACGTCCATCAATTTATCTATGTAGAGGCAATTTGATCAAGTTTTAGGGAAAATGGAAACTAATAATCCGACCTTTTAGCGGTCTTCTTTTAATAGTCTGATCTTTTTGTTATTCATGAGTAATCCAACCTTTGCACCTCATCTTCATTCATTGGTCCCCAATCGGTTGATGACCTGCTATTCCGAGTTATTTTCTCATCTCTGCAAACTATTATATCATAAATTCCACCTTTCACAAAGATAATATTTTGCAAAGATAAGAAAATAACTTGGAATAACAGGTCATCAACCGATCAGGGACCAGTGAATGAAGATGAGATGCAAAGTTTGGATTATTCATGAATAACGAAAAAGTGGGACTATTAAAAGAAGACCGCTAAAAGGTTGGATTATTAGTTTCCATTTTCCCTAAGTTTTATGAGGAAAATTGATTTTTACATAGAAAAAATAAAAAATTTATCTGTTTCACAAATATTTTAAAATTCACATTTAAAATTGTATGTATCTCATTTAAAATGTCTGCAATACACACAATTTCTTTTATCTGTATAAAAATCGGTTTTCTTCACAAAAACGGCCAAATTGTCTATATCTTTATAAAACACGATGAAAATCGTGTCAGAAATTGCATAGACTATCGTTGCTTCATAACAAAGAAGAACAGTTTAATGAACCATTTTGCTAATTAGAGCGGATTAAGTTCAAATGTTCAAACAATTGTTCAAATAACAAATCCATCCGCCTAAAACTTGAAAGGAGCACACAACATTCAAGAGTGGGCTTATCCATCCTTCTATTGTGTTTACATTTTAGAATAGAGAGAATTCCCCAAATAGGAGTAAAAGATAGGCAAAATGCATAAATAGAAGTACCATGTTTTAATAGGAATAACTTTAGTGTTTAGACAAGTATATCCCTACCCAAGTCCCAATAACTTTCATTAATAATTAAAACATAAAAGGAATAACATTTAATTTAAAATAAAATTGTAAAAAAAATGAAAAATCACAAAAATATATCAAATAAAACATACTTCGCATTAAATACAATAAATAAAAATAAAAATTATTAAAACAAAAAATATTAAATAAAAAACTTAAAAATTAAAATAAAAAAATAAAAAAATATGTAGGGGTCTGCCGCCGCCTCAACAACCTCCCAGCACCACCAGCTCCGACCACCGAAAAAAATGCCAACATTTTTCCGAAATGCCATCATGATGGCAGATTTTGAGAAAAAATGGCATTTTCAAAGAGCAAAACTGCCATCTTTATGGCATTTTCACAAAAAACAAATGGAAGTTTTAACATAAGATGACATTTTTTCCGCCGATCGGAGGTGACATTGCTGGGTGATACTCGAGGTTTATCTATTTTTTATTTATTTTCAAATTTTTTTATTTTTTTTTTAAAAAAATTATTATATCAATATATTTTTTCAAATATTTTAGAATTTTTTTTATATTTTATTAGGATCAAATAAGTCATATTTTAGAATTAACTAAGTTAGGGGTATTAAGGGTACAAAATTAATGTTTACTCCTATTGAAAGAAGTTTTAAGTTTCACTCCTATTTGTGCAATTATGTTTATGTTTACTCCTATATTGTTTAACTCCAAGGCCTTAACGTTAAAAATGTATAGCGAATTTCCAAAAAAAATCCAAAAAAGATCTGCTCAGCTAACCATATTTATCTTCTAGGAGGAACAGGGGCGGATCCAGGATTCCGGAATGCCCTGGGCTGAAAAGAAATTCTATTTGACTTCAACTTTAGCGGGTGGGCTAAATATGAAAATTTTAAAAATTTACACTAAAAAAATTGAAAAAATTTTAAGCTGCCCTGAGCTTCAGCCTACCATAACATATACATAGATCCTCCCCTGAGGAGGAAGTCAATAGCACACCATTAACAGAAAATGCTCGTAAAGCTTAAAAAGGGTATACCTGCTTTGCCACGAACTCGGGATAATTGTCTTGAAGTAGATGAATGGATAATTTCACAAATATTTTAAAATTCGCATTTAAAATTGTATGTATCTCATTTAAAATGTCTAGGATACACACAATCTTTTTATCTGTATAAAAATCGGTTGTCTTCACAAAAAAACGGTCAAATTGTCTGTATTACAAACACTTTATGAAAAATTCTCTTTTAAAATGTCTGTGTTACAAACAAATTTTTGTTTTTATCTATGTGGAAATAAGTTTTCTTCATAAAACGCCGATCAAATTGTAAGTACACAAACAATTTGACAGGCATGTACAATGACATGTACAATGTCGTGTACATGAAGCAGAACTGTAATTTGTATACATTTATGGTACACACTCTCTTAGTTGCATTTGTACACACAGACAACTTATTCAGAAGCTCAGGTATACATAAACAGGTAAACAATTAAACAATGTATACAACAAATGTGTACATATGGCACCCCTTCTAACTATTATTGCATAAATGTTGAATGCGCATGCAGGGCCGGCTCTGAGCAAGGGCAGCCTGGGCTTGTGCCCCGGGCCCAACATTCATAGGGGCCCATAATTATATATATATATATATATATATATAATATTATTTATTTATTTAAAAAGTAATTGGCACGTCGGCAGCTACGCTACTCAACATTTCAATTGTAACTTGCTCTTGCCTCTTGAAAATACATTTGACGTTTCGTTTCTCGTAAAAGTTACTAAATGCTACTCCATATTAATGATTCTCATTAAATAATTTGTTACTTTTGGGGCTGTGATTTACCACACACTCCTCACATATATATACCTATTCAGATACTCGGTTATTTGGTTTCCCTTGTTCCATTATTCTAGTAATTCCACTTTCAATATAATACTCAATATTTGGATTTTAGTTTGGTTCGATTAGCATTCGGCAATCAACACTCCTAATTTCTTCAACATAATTTTCGAATTCCAGCTTAAGATGTGAGTAATTCTCTAATTTTAATATAATTTTCGATCTTTAATCCAAATATTTTTAGACTTTAAATTTCCAAATAAAAAACGTTATCTTTACGTTTTATATGTTTTAGGCCTTTGTATGTTGAAATTTTCTTTTCTATAGTTAAGCTTTTGCATACCTCCGTCCAAAAAAGGTTTGCCATTTTTTAAAGTCAATACGGTAAATTGGAGACAATGATTTTAATTAGTAGTATATGTGTATATAAATAATAAATTTTATATTTTATGAAATATTTTGAATAAGAAACATTTTGATATAATTTTCATATTAAATTATTTTCACATTAAAAACATATCATTAGTCAAAGTTGATTACCTTTTTGTACAAAAGAAGTACGGAGTATATATTTATACACCATTTTAAGGACCTTTTTTTCTCCAAATCGCACCGGGCCCACAAAATGTCAGGACCGGCCCTGTGCGCATGGCGGCATCAGGCATGGGTCTCTGTGAGCTTTGGAGGTGGTTATTAATCATGATAATTCAATTAAAGTTAGATAATTGTGTATAAGGACTTTATCACTTCGAGAAATTGGTCCCATACACCGAACGCAATTGGATATTGGATGATTGTTCCAAATTTTTATCCTATATTCTTAACTACTACGGAGTAGTATGTTTTATCGGTGCATCTTGGTAGAGCGATAACATATTAATTGATGTTTAAAAGAAAAAAATACTAGCATATCATACGTAGTACTTCGTATAACAATTGGAACTGCTATGAGTTCATGATACAAATTATTACAAATTCTCATATAGTCCATTTAGAGCGAAAGTGATTCATTATCCATTGCCATGATGTGTATTCACAAATCAAAAGCTTGAATCCAGGTAAATTAGTTGGGCAATCTTTTATGCATCCAAAGTTACAAACATGTGGTCGCAAGATTATATGAGTACTTAATATTTCTAAGGAAAATTTGACACCAATAATCCAACCTTTACCCGGTCTTCCCAAAATGGTCCCAATTATTAATAATCCTAAATAAATCCAACCTTTTTATTCTCTCTTCTCTCTGTGGACCCAATGTAAAATTTACCGGTTGTTAAAGTTATTAACAACAAATATTACCGGTTTCTAAATAATACCGCACAATTTTTCCTTCTTCCCACTTCGGCACTTCTCTCTTTGACCTGACCGGACAACATCCATTGGGAAGTTCTTCCGGCTCCCGATCAAACCCATCCAATATCTCATTCTCTACAATCATCTCCATCATAGACTCTCTGAAATTCTTCTCCGGATCGGCCGACTCTCTGAACACTACCCTTGAAGATCCCTTCGATATCTAGAAGGCAAGTATATTGCCTTCCTCTTCGGTGAAACAGAGAATAAATTGTGGGGGTTGTTCTTGTATTTTTTGTGTTCTAGTTTCTGCAGCTGGGTTTGTAAAAGAATTAGGAATTTGGGATTATATTTGATAATCTAAACCTATTATGATGATTAGTGCCCATTGATTGAAAGTTTATGAAAAGATGAAATGGTAAGAAGAATCAGGAGGGATTTTATAGTGGAATCAATAGTTCGGATTAGGGATTAAGGATAAGATACATCCATTGCTTACATTAGTACGACTGTACGAGGATTTGGGGTATAGTGCTAAACTGCTAAAACAAAGTTTACTTTGTTAGCCGGTAATAGGTATCAGGGACCGCTGAAAGAAGGATAGATACAAAGGTTGGATTTTTTTAGGATTATTAATAATTGGGACCGTTTTGGGAAGACCGGGTAAAGGTCGGATTATTAGTGTCAAATTTTCCTATTTCTAATGATGTTTATAATTTTTAGTGATGGTTATTGAAATGCTACAAAATTGTTGGCTTAGAATGGCCATTGGCCAGGAATGTGAATCCCATATCT